AGTAAATTAATTAATATTAGTACTGTACTGTATAAGAATTACTTTGTAAAGGTAAGTTTTAATGGTTGATGAGGAAGACCCAAATTAACTTCCTCTTGAGAAAGGGACAGCTTTAGGGTGAGCTCAACTGTTCCATTTTGTTGAAATATAAAAGTTTGAAATATTACTTGTCTTACTTCAGTGCATTTTGTATAGTTTATGTAAATTGAATTAAATATATTACCAGCTTTATGCACTTGGTTATTAGTATAAATTAGTAAAGAGTGAGCAGACTTGCTTATGCCACCTGGGTATTTCCCCCTGTGCCCAGTACCCAGCACAGGTGATGACGGTCACATACACACCACCAACTTTTCATGTCAAGCTTCATCAGTTGGCTCGTGTACTGCAGTGTCAAGTGCACAGGTTGATCCCCACAGTGCTCAGGAACCCTTCACATATTCAGCTAGGCTATACAGTACTTCAATATTCTATTAAAGCTAGAAAACTAGAGGTAGGATCTCTTCTAGCTCAATTTTAACCTCGGTAAATTAGCTGTAGCATAGAAGATCCAGTTGGCAATGATGAGACCTTTTAATGTACACCGCCACACTACCGACAGTCCACTTTATAACCAAGCCAATGAGGAATAACTCGGATCCTATCCACCTCCTTGGAGGTTGGTTGGATGAAATGTTGGTACTGTACTGTACTGTACTTGGTTTCTCATTTTGGGGAGTTTTCAACGCCCCGGGATTCCAGACAAAAAGAGTCCTTTTCCCAGGATTTTCCGGTTTACGTAAATAAGGGTACTACTTCTGTGCAAAAATTAATACAACAACATAGTTTTATTGAGAACAAAAACCCTGTAACATAGCACACAATATTAATACATTCAGCGTTATAATTGTATTATTAGAACAACAAAAATTCCATATAATTTAACCCATAACATTATTTTACTTTTTGGACTCACTGAAGCATTGCATTGAAATACCTTGATGCACTTGATATTATTGTCTTGTTTATATATACACGGCAGTGTTGCCATTCCACACCTTTTTCGTCTGTTGTGCAGCTAATTTGTGGCAGGAAACGCACAGTGGAGAGCTGCAGTCTGTGATCTGAAGTATGTGGAGTAAATACTATGCGTGTTTTGACATCTAGTATTGTACTGTATTTGGCTTTCATTAGCCATTATTTTATTATGAAATGATACAGGTATTGAGATTAACACTGCACTAAATCGCTCTACACTGTTCCCTTTGGACACAATGTGAGCATGTCTTGTTTCTTTATTACTATGTGGTATGAAAGAGAAAATATTTGACCGGAAATATTAAATTTCTATTACAGTATAATTATATATATCTATTATTATATTCAATGATTTGTAAAAAATGTGGAATTCTGGTATGTTTGGCATTTGTCTTAGGAAATAATGTAACGGTTCACCCTCTGAGATCTTGGTTGAGAAACCCTAGTAGGTACTCATTACCTCTTAGCCATCACTGGGAACTGTGACCTCTTGTTCACCCTTTTTTATAGGTGATGGTTGTTTTAGAAGAGATGGTTGATCTTAAGATACATCCCAGCTGTCTTAGTTCAGGGTTTCCTGGGTTCCAAACCAATAACCTGTAGCAGGTATATACAGTACACAAGTCACTCCACACTAACTGCTATAAAATAGGCTCTTGGATCAAGACTTCATGTATTAAGTAAAATTAGTGTTTGGTCGTACTTGGCCGTAACTGAATTCAATTAAATAATGTACTGTATATTCATGTAATGATTGGTGGTGTGTGTTTATGGAGGGCGCCACACGGGTCAGCTTCCCGGGTACTATAGTACCGTAGCCCTTAATGACCGTTGGTCTTCCTGTTTTTCTGCAGCAACCAGGCCAGTCACTGGCATCAACGGAGCAGGCCACTAGTGACCCCGTGAGCCACTTCACATAATAGGGCGGATCAACCCAGGTCTCGGTATTATGCGGTCATCTAGTACTTGTTCTTCTGCCCCCATATGAGTTCTCACTCATTTGAGTGCTCAGTCAGCGCGGGGGACTGCCACGACCCATATTGCTTCTTGTCAGAGTTGCCAACAGCTCTATAAATGTTCATTTGGATAATGAATTGGCACATTAATGATATTGCCAGTGCATATCTGAGTGAGAATTCTGTATAATTCTTTAACTTGACAAGTCTTTCAAGTGTACTTCCTGCTAGTATTTGTGTTGTCATAAAAGTTGAAATATTTGTTAGATAACATTTAGATTCTGTCAGTAATATAAGACAAAATATATCATGGGCTGCAGATAAAGCCTCTTATACCAGGTTACAGATTTTTAAGATACTGCAATTGTTATTTAAACATACTGTATATGGGTCACATGAAAATTGTCAGAAATGGTAATTGAATATGGAAATACTGTCTTCCTTTAGTATTGAAATTGATGTTGTTTGTTTAAAGATTTAAAAATTTACTTATAATTTTATATCGGGTGTACCGATTTTCTCATACGTATTGGATTTATTTCCGGATATATTAACCCCTTGTGCGTGGGGTCCCCTCTGTGCTGAATAATATTGTGATGTCCTTTCAGTTAATAATTTTATATTGTGTGGTACAGTTTAATCATAAAACTAAAAAAAAATTTAAATCATAAAGAAAGTGGATGTGAATTTCTGCAATTAGCAAGAAATGGTGTCCTAATTTAAAATATAGTCCCAAACAAAAACAACTAATGAGCATTATGCAGAACCTTTCTAATATTGTGGAGGCTTGAAGGAAGCTCTGTAACGCATCAAATTCATAGTCATTATCGAAGTACACTTGTACAGTTTACCCCAGGGGTTCTCAACCAGGGGGGAATTTCCCCCCTCAGGTTTTCAGGGGGGGGGGGAAACTGATACTAATATGGAAAAAATAAAGGATTTTCAGTATTATATGCATATTATTTGGAATGCACTTTTTGAGGCAGACAATCTTGGAAAGGAGGGGGGAATGACATTCTGACATATGGTGAAAGGGGTGCATGGGGCAAACAAGGTTGAGAACCACTGGTTTACCCAGTATGTATATGCAAGAAAGGAATGCTAATACTGTACTGTAAATATGAAGGTTTTTAAACTAAGACAGTAGAAAATTAATACCAGTTCTTTTTAGTATTGTAAACGTAAAGATAATTTCAGTGAATATTTCCCAGTTTATGGATATAATTTTATTCAGAATTCTAATATTTCATAATAGTGGAATGAGTAGCGAGTTACGAGTGCCCTTCGTATAAATGAGAAACGGCAGTGTTTTAAAACACGTTTTATGAAACTAGTATTCCAAAAGTACAGTATGTATTGTAGTGTCACTAATATACACAAGAACTGGAAGCCATTTGACCAGGTACCCTGCTTTTGTATTACGGTTATCCACTGAATGCCGGTAATGTAACTGAATGACAATATGTACTTAGTATAATAAATACAGTACTGTATCAACTTTTACAGTACATATATTTAAGATTATGTATCTGGTTGTCAGACTTTCAGTGCAGTAACTTTTTATCCCAGTAAGGCAATGGCAGAAATTATTTAGTAATGGTGACCTTAGGAATTCAAGTACAGTAATCTCTTACAAGGGTTAGCATCAAACTGTAAATGCCTCTTAGAATTTATGACTTTGAATTCTTTGAACAAGCACAGAAATAATCAATAAATGATATACAGGTACAAAGATAAAAAGACTATCAGAATTATACTGGATTATGTAATCCAAACTTTAATTACGTGAAATTTGTTGTTTTGCTATTGATGAATTGGTTGGGAAAGTCTTAATATGATTGTACTGTACAGTATTTACAAGAACAAATAGTAACCACAATAAAAGAACAGGAATTTAGTACTATAATAGTCTTCATTATTAACATGAAAATATATCCGATATTGTGATGTCTTAATAACTACTAATGTTAAACTTTGTACATAAAGGTTAAATAGCACTATTTAAAATTGTTATCTGTTTTGCTAATGGCCTGGTTTTGCATTTTTTTTTTATCACTAGAAGATACTGAGACGTCAAAATGAATAAGTCACCTTCTGTGTAATTAGGTTCCTTGGCAGTATTGTTTACTGTATGCGTATAATGCAACTGTAGAGATACCAAGTATCCTTTTTTAATTTTTCCATACTCATAACAACAGCACCAAAGTACTTTATGACCCAATTTTATGAATTTATCATTGAAAACCAAAATCGTTGAAGACCAAAATATATGATTAAATTAGCAATGCATTTAACTTATTATCATGATTTAAAGGTTTTACCATACCTCAGTACAGTACTGTATGTAGTATTTTATAATCTGTTGGTAGAAAAGAGGCCTTACAGGCAGCCATAAAATTCTTTGTTTAGGTTGAACTGGGTAAGTGGCAGTCCTACTGCAGCCTGACCCCCAGGGGTGACAGTTGTGGCTGGCCATATTGAGCCATAAAGTACAGCACAGCGTGTGGCATGATCCCACGCTCCCCTGGGGGGGGCACCAGGCTCCCGGGGCTGAAATCTGGCAGAAGTGCAGGCAATGCTCGGCGCACCGTGCATCATGCTGGATGTAAAGCTTTCTGGCGGGCTGCACATGCTTGGAGAAACAATTTTATTTAAAAACCCTCACATTTAAAACCATTGCAGAATTCACGAACTCTTTTTGATTAGTAAAGTATAACTGGAATTTATAATAAAAAATACAATTAGGATACCTTTCCAGGGTGATTTTAAACTCCCTTTGTAAGTCAAGGTATTCTAATCCATCTCCAGGCGTGTGTCATAGCGCTAGTTCCCTGATGTCACAACTTTGGGTGGGAGCCAGTACAGGACGGTCAATGTACCCTGTTTTGTGCCCCAAAGTATCGCATGAAGATCCTTTTATTCACGTAACAGAGTTCATGGCCTATCCTGGGTTGGAAGTCGACACCCCCATTGCTGTTGACATCACTGTCTTTTTCAGAGCTTAATTGTAGTTGTTGCCCCTAACAGGACCTGTACTACTCGAGGAAGAATTTCAAGCGACCTGAGCTGCAAGTGTCTCCTCACCGGACATTTGAAGAAGAAGCCTCGATCTTGGACCAATTTTTCCCAGGTAAGAAAATGCAGAAGTAAAATTTTTTCTCTCATAAGTCACTCAAATATCTGGCCTTAACCCCATTAGTATGAAGGTTCTCTTTGTGCTGAATAAAATCGTCTGCTGTTAGCCAAATAAAGTACAGTGGGGTATGCTATAACGAATCTAATTGGTTCTAGAACCTTGTTCGTTATAGGATTAATCCATTCCAGGCCCCCAAATTTAACCACTTAACACTGAAAAATATAATATAAAATTGTAAAAATTTTAAAAAAGTGCATAAATATGCATCTAAACCCCTGAAATAAAGAATATCATTAATACTTGTAATAAAAAAACAATAAATTAGTAAAAAAAAAAAAAAATTAAATAATGTTCGTTGTAGGAGTTTCGTTCGTTATAGCATTCTCAATTTTATAGGTAAAACCGTTCGTTATAGGAATATTCGTAGTAGGATCCGTTCGTTATAGCATACCCCACTGTACAGTGATCCCTCAGTTAACGAGCGCCTAGGTTAACGGGATTTCGGTTAACGATTTACCTTCCATAAGATTCTTAACTTCGGTTAACGAGCAATCCCACGATTAACGAGTTTTTTACGAGCCGACCTAAACATGTTTTCGCTTGCATTTGGAGGTCCACCAGCTGTAGTATTAGTCCGCCAATACAGTAATCGGTTTTAGGGCTTAAATTCCTTACTATTTTAGTAAATATCAAGAAGTTTATACTATTATATATATAATTTTAAAAGTTTAATATTAAATTTTTTACTCATTTTAACAATTATTGAACATAATTGAAGGTAAGGAAACTAGTTTCATGCGCGCCATCCAGCCTGGCAACACGCCAAACAGGCGCCAGTCTCTCTGTCTTTTCAGTGGAGGTAACATCTTGCTTGAGACTTTCTTCAACTAAGGCTTTTTTTCTATGTTTGCAAGCAAATTATTGGTCATTTTGAAATTTATTTTACATATTGACAATATATAATGTAGTGCAGTGTTGATTTAAAGAAAATAATCTTGAATTACACCAAAAGAACTAAAATTTTATGGGTGAAATGGCGCCATGGGGTGACTTCTCTTCCACCCCAAAGCCTTCTCTTCTCCCTTCTCCTCCACCCCCATTCTAATTCCCATCATCATCATCATCCAGGAGCCTTCTACATACACACCTCAAAGTAAGTGTACTTTTCTACCTTTTTTGTTGAATTTAGGCAATTTTCAGTGCGCTGGAACCAATTACCCCAAAACCCATTGAAACAATGGTATCGGTTAACGAGTTTTTCGGTTAATGAGCAACCTGCTGTAACGGATTGTGCTCGTTAACCGAGGGACCACTGTAATAAAAGTGCTGGAGTGTCCCAAATCAGGTGGCTAGGGTGTAATACATTTAGCCCCTGGTGGTTGGCATCACATTATAGATACAGGTATACCTCTTAGAATGTTTTTTTTTTAATCTCATTGGTCAGGAGGAAACTTTTATTTTTATATATAAACAATATTAGTGAAGTCTATGCAATGATTCAAAAGTCATCAATTCATGTTGATAATGGTGTAGGACAGTACCACAGCTACACTCTTAATGTATCTTATTTTCATGATACTACACCCTGTGGAATTTTTATTTTTATCTGTTCAACCTGTATTTCATATGTGTATATAATCCCAGACTTTCAGAGCAAAAAAACAAACAAAAACAAACAAACACATGCACACAAAAATTGATGTCTTTCAAATGTTTACTCAATCACAGGTCAAGTGTTTCACATTGATGTCACTGATTTTATGATGTGAAATTCTTTTAGTGTTATTTTATTGGAAATGTTGTTGGTTTAATGAAAATATCTTAAATTTTTCTTTTGGTGTTTTTGGCAGGTGGTCGAGCATATTGCATGGGTAGTGTGAACCGTGCTGATTGTTGGTACTTGTACACGGTGTCACCTGGTCGTCCACGGTACCGTCCCAATGCAGCTCGCCATAACCTCCCTCATAATCGGTAAGTTTATATCGGTGATTAATTTGTAAAATTAGAAGTGGTGAAACTCTAGTGAGTGAGAAATAGATGTTGCAAAGTAGATGACTGAGCCTGCAGAACTGGCAAGGCACTAAGTATTGCCAAGGCCTGTACAGTATACTGAAGGCAGTATTTATTGACATGTGATTATATTTACAATTTACTCATGCAATATAAAAGTACTGGAACACTGTTCTGGTGTATTCCAGCTCCTACAGTATTAAGCTCTGGTTTATATAATTTTCAAAGGTCTATGATGGTGGCCCATGATATAGCTCACAGTCTCACATGACTGCTATTTTGCTTTTCTTGTGAACACAGCAACAGTACTACACACAACGCTATCTTTTCAACCATTTCTGGATATGTCAGTTATAAGAGAAAGGATTTCTAAGCGACATGGATATTGCCATTCAAGGCAGATTGACCACCAGGGCAAGTTAGTTACCCATGTAAACAAGTCTCTGCTTCACATGATCATAGAGAACAAAACCTCTTGACTATACTGGCCACGTCCACCTTATCGGAGGTCTGCCATGCTTTTAAAGCTCCATTTTCTGTTCTGCCTTCATTCCTGCTGTTGGTTACAGAACTACACTACTGTATTATAAGTTGAATCACCAATTATATTAATGGGTAGTACTGAACACATATTAACAGTAGCCATGCAGTCACTTATACTGCCTTGGTAATGTAGTGAATATCATGTCGGTGTACTAGTCTGGCACACTGAATGGGTTTCTGTGACAGTTTGGGTCAAACTATGGAATAGAAAATTTTGACCTATGTGAATCTCCACCAAACTAACACGCTACTTAGTGTATCAGGAGGGCCCCTTCATGTAGTCATATTTTCTACTTCTATACAAGATTCCTTAAACAATCAACTGAATTGTTTTTGTGATAAAGACCTGTATTTTGGAATGGAAATATTTTTTTCTTCAGGATCAGGAGACAAAGTTTAAAGAACACTGGCCAATAAAGCCTTCAGGATAGTAACCATAAAGAGAGAAGTGTTAGCAAGGGAAGTGAACCGTGAAAGATATTAGTTCCATTTTCTCCTGTGAAGAATGGAATTCTTTCACCTTGTGGGTTGTCAGTTATAGAAGAAACTAGTTCTCTGCCAGATGGGACACGGATGTATTTGGGAAGGGGATATACATTGCCAAGTTATATGCCACCTGGTGGGTATTCTTTAAAGTTCAATAATTGGTAATATGAATCTGTTTGGAGGCACTTCAATGTTATACAGTATCCCACTTCAGTTTTGTAGTTGTAGGTGAATTTTTTAAATGTAGTACAGTGCTTTCCAAGAAAGGATCTTGCTGGAAGTTACTAAGTATATTGTAAAGGTAACATTGACCATTCATTTTTTAGACACCATTGTGAGGGATCTGTCATAAAAGGAATTTATTAGCTTATCTCTTTTTATTTATTTTTTATTATCCCTATTGTTTGGGGAGATTCTTCGTTCCCTAAAGATGGTTTTGATTCTTGGAATCTGTAGGAACCTCTGTTGAAGAGTTTGTAGATCATATTTTTCTTGGGTGCAATGCTGTTAACTCGTTGCAATGTCTTGGGTATTTATTAGTGAGAACTCGGAGCATCATGCTCGGATGAAACAAAACGTGTTTTTGTTTCTTGTTTGCCAACTCTCTCTTTTACAGGTACTGTAATGGGTAATATTCTGTGGATTTGGCATCCTGTGTACTGTCGACTTGTAACACTCGTCTTGCCTGCGGCTTGTGACACTCGTCTTGCCTGCGGTGCCCACCGTTTCTGTGCGGATATCGGTCACACTAGAATAACCCGTTATAGTACATCCTTCTTTCCTCACACAGCCAAACTGTGGAATGGTCTGCCTTCTTCTGTGTTTCCATACTCCTACAATCTGTCTCGCTTTTTAAGCTTGTTTTCTGGCATCCTCGCGGTGTAGATTAATACAGTCTTTTTCTCTTCTATTTTTAATTTCTTATCCCCCCCCCCACCCCCTAGGCACCGTTGTGGGTCCTGTACCCGGGTGGGCTATTCCCCGTGAAAAAAAAAATTGGGATTGTAGACAGGTTAAAGTTTGTTAAATAAATCAGACAGCTAATGTTAGGTCAGCTCACTCCTTTTCTGTCTGTCTTTTATGTTTTGAATCTGTATACCGTAGTGGTTTCATCACTCCCTGTATCCAGTTCAGCATTGACATGTATATGTGTTTAGCTGAAATCCTTCATATATGTGATCCAAGGTGATTGTTTATTCATTGGCCTTACTTTTGTTTTTTCATTTGTTTATTCATTGGCCTTACTTTTGTTTTTTCATTGATGTTGGTTCACCAAACATAATTGGGGACTTTAATGAGGGTGTTTAAATGTTGTTACCGGAACAGACCTTTTGTGAAATTGGACTGCATGGCACTCGGAGGCCTTTAGTGTTAGTTTTTTTACCCTCCGTTCTGGGATCAAGGATGCAAGTTTTACTAATAATAAGAATTTATAAATCCATCCTCCCATCTCTGTACTAACTGACTTTAACATACACAAATCACCTGATAAACTGCATGGATTGGGTGGTTCATACTCCACCCTCCTTTTGGGCTCTGATAAAAACTGGAAATTGGGAATTAATTTGGCTTCTCATTTTCCAACTTGCTTGGCAGGTTCTTTAATTTCACTCAGAGATACGGTGTTACTTGGCCTAGTTGTTTACTGGATCTCTGTTTTGTTCTTTTACACAAGTGGAGGGTTCTGGTAACACCCAGGTTAAATCTGTAAACTTGTTGATGCAGTATATGAGTTGCCAACCCATGCTTGCTTGTAAAATAGGACTTCAAGATCCATGCCCTCAGTTCTTGTCATTAAAATACTCTAGTCTTGTTTTCTGCTCATCATTTTTTGGTAACTGAATGCAAGGTGAGGTAACTAGTTGTATTACCCCCCCCCCCCCTTAAATTTATGAGTACTCTTGCAGTACTGTATTCTAAAGAGAATCTTGAAGCAGTACACCTAAGTGATATATTATGACTTTGACAGGATTGGCAAGATACACCGTGAACCTGATCAGACACTGGAGGTATTGATGATGGATCTGGACCCTGAGAAAATGAAATGGTTCTACAAGAATATTTGTCCAACTGCTGCTGAGGCCACCAAGGTGAGTCCTGTACGAGTTGTGTTTTATAATTAGATCTGTAAAGAAGTTCAGGATTTAACAGAACATGTGAAAATTTATGAGATTTAATAGTTTTGGGCATGAATATTTCTCTGAATTCTCATACTGTACTGTATTAATTAATGAAATATGTGGAATATTTGGGAATCTCTATAACCAGTGCTTCAAGTAATCAGCAGTGTCAAAGCAGAGAAGTTATTTTACCTGGTTATGCTGTATATATTTTTTATGTACACACGCTTCAAAAAGTATCTTTACAAAGGGTTTAGTGAATTTGCTTAATTAATGAAGAGATTATATTAATGAATTAGTAGCTCAACTACATTGAGGGCTACCCAAGATTCCATTGAGGGCTATCACAAGATTCCATTGAGGGCTATCACAAGATTCCATTGAGGGCTATCACAAGATTCCATTGAAGGCTATTGCAAGATTCTCACATAAAATTTTCTTCATTATTTAAGCAAATACACAGACATTTGTAAACTTCTCATGATCTTAAATAACGATAAATAGTTTATTGTTATAAAAATGTAACCTTTGGATAGTTGAATATTTTTCCTGGCAGCGATACAGCCAAAAATAGATCCACCAATCACCATCCCCATTACTTACAGCCTTACTTAACCAAGTATTGCCAGGTAAAATTGCAAGTACAAGAGCCAGGGTGTGGTTGGTGCTTCGTTGGTTGACTGTACATGATGCAGTACACCTCCTGGTGTACTGAGGGATCAACAAGGTAACTTGTGAGCAATTAGTCCAATGGAACCCAGTTTCAGTTACCTTGCTTCTCCTCCCTAGTTGTAGATTGGACTTGAAAGAAGATTGCAGTCATGGGTGAGGTTTCCATTCCTCAAAGACAGTCGGATTCATCATCATTTCTTATATCATAAGTATGTCAGAGGCATTGGAGAACTTTCTAGACCTACCTAGGTGATTTTTCAGGTGGAACAGAATTGGTGGGAAGGTTGCATGCTGCACATTTGTCTTAATTGTTGCTGTCCCTCTTCCTGAATTACCTGTAGAGGAACTCGCCCAATGGGGCAAGGATGTGAATCTTTTCCTCAACTAAAATATTCTTGGGACCCATGGGGACTGTTCTTTGAGAGAAAAATTCAGATTAATATGGCAATGTGTGAGTGTGTGTGGTTTTTTTTTTTTTTTTCTTTTCTTTTTTTTTATATATCAAAATGCAGCAGGAACTGATGCAACAACTCCAGGAGACAGCTGAACACACAATTCATGCAGGGATCTTGTGCACAGAAGTCTGAGGAACCACTGAGTTGGTAGAAAAAAAAATTGCTTCATTCAATTTGATGGGCAGTAACCAGGCTCTAATTTGCTTAAAAGTGCCTTTAATTATATAACTGGGATCAATATTACTTTTGAACACTGTACGTATATGATTTAGGTAATAAGATAAAGATTGCATTTCTCAAGAGATGGTTATCTCTTTCAGGTATATGTTATAATTATGTGGTGTCATGTTAAAACTACCTAACATCTTCCAGAAATCTGGCATTGATCGACTGATCCCTGAAATGATGATTGATGACTACCAGTTTGAGCCCTGTGGGTATTCCATGAATGGCTTGATGCGCAGTGTGCCTGTAAGTACTAATTTTCTAGATGAAAATTCTTTTTATTATCCAAAGCACTGTACATAAAAAATAATGTTTCCTGCATATCCATATGGAAGGCATGGATCTTTCACTTTGACTGACTGCTTCAATCACTCAGAAAGTGTGCACCTGTATACCCAACAATAATCTTTCATGATGTGAAATCATTTTGAAGGCATTGTAAACTAATTCAGGTTATTCTTTGTTTCTCAGAGTTCCAGGAAAGGTTATGTAAGTACTTCTTGCAAAATCTTTTCTTAATACTAATTTATTTAATTTTTTTTTTCTTTTATAGCTTTATGTTCTCTGCATTATATTGAGCCACAGTTAGCCAGAGGTTGAACACAATTTCCTCGAAACACAGCAAATAATATTGTATTATGTAAGTCACTGATAGAAAATGATTCAAATCGCCTTTTTCTCTTGAGTTTTTCTGAAATTTTACTTTATTAATAAATGATTCCAAATAAAAAGATATCAGAACGAGAATTCATCATAGTATTACTGTATTGTGTAATTTTACTGCTGATGAACAGTCGCAGCATTATAAAAGAAATGTGTTTCAGACTGAGAAGCTTAGCTTTACCTTTTGCAAGTTTAAGGAAGACTGACTGACCTGTAGTGAGAGAGTTTTAAAAGAAACTAAATATTAATCATTATGATTAATTGCTTTATGGCATAACATGAAAAAATATGGTAAACTCTCAGTTTTTATTTACTCATTTAATATATACTGTATATATTTTTCTAAAATCTTGAAATTTAGCATACTGTATTTTGGACTGATGCAATGGCAGGTAACTGAATATACAGTGTACAGACTAACTAAACCGTGAACATTAGGAGAAAACATTGGCATGGTCTTCCAATATAATGGCTACTGGATGGGTAGACACATCCCAAACCTGTATATACTGTAGCTAAAACAACTATCTGTGCAGGTGTGGGTCGATATGCTCTGAAATCTTACGTGCAACAAGTGACAGCCCTCATATACCAAAATTTATTGTCCATGGTCTCATATTATTTCCCACAAAGTATGCACAGATAATTGTTTTAGCTACTGTACAGTAGACTTACTTGTAAATTATATCAGGTTATTGTGTTATAAAGGCAGAACAGCTTTAAAGTTATTGGCATCCTTTGTTAAAACCTATACAGTATATTTGAGTTACTAATATGTGACAAAGCTACAATGCTTGTGAAAGATCTTTATACAGTTCTCTATGACATGACTGGATTTAAAAAAGATTTGGAACTATGAGCCAAGCTTTGAGTCGTAGTTTATTAACACATGATACGAAGCGACAAATGTTTGGGAGAGAAACTCTATCATTCTCATTAAACCTACAATTCTGGGTGCACTGAAGGTACATACAGCAGCAGTACAGAATACTGCAAATGGTTATGAGAAAAAATTTTTTCCTTCATTCTGCATATAAAATGGAGCAACAGTTTTTAATAGTTCCAAGTCATATTCTGAGATGCAGCAGGAATAAGTTTACCAGATACTGTATAAAACTAAAGTCCAATAATTATCATAAAAAAAAATTACCACTATCAGAAGAATGAGAAAATTTTTACTGAGAACTAGTGTCTACTTCCTGCAGTACTACGGTGCACCAGTTAATGACAGACTTGAGTACAGTAGCCTATCCAGTTATATTTAGTATTCGGGTAATTGTATTGTATGTGTAGGCACTGTAAAAATATTGTATGAAGTTAAATAACGTTCACTTATCGTTTGAGGCGTACACAAATGGTAATTTACTGTACTTGTATTTTTGCCTCCATTTTCCTGCATATGTTTAATTCATTATTCCATTTATACAAACATATCCACTCTGGGCTATCTGAAATGCACCACTTTCTCCATTCTCTATTCACTCAAGCTAATATTCACTACTTTCTTAGGTTTCTCGAAGTACTGTACACTTTTCCAAACTCGATCAGTAACTTGTCTCCTGAAACACTACCCCCGGTAATTAAAACAGTGTCCTCTACAAACAGTATTTGACTCGCCGCCCATTTAATGATTTAGGATACACCATAAAAATATCAACACTATATCCTGTACCAAAAATCTGAACTCCAAGTGAATTTATAAAGAATTTTATTTGTTGATTAAGTACAGGTGTAGTTATATTTTGTTTATTTTTATTTTTAGCCTTGAACATGTTGCTAATCATTTGTTGATATAATTATGTACAGTAATACCTCGCTTTATGCGGTCATTTGAACCCACGGAGGCCCGGGTAAGGCGGGAAACGCGTAACGTGAACAACAGAACATATGGGATTAATTGAAATAGAGACTGGGCCGACCCCCAAATTCCACTTTTTCAGACACAATACCTACGTTGTAGTAAAAATAACTTCTTAATTTTATGATGGTACGCACACACAATTAATAATTAAGAGAAATATCAATAATATTAGGTTTTTTAACACTTACATTAGTAGAAAAGATGGCTGGGCACACTACATTAGTAGAAAAGATGGCGGGTTGGTTCCGAGGCAGAGGGCAGATTATTGGCCCTCACCTGTATCACTTGTATCAATTGTATCACTATCCACCACAGAGGCTTGCAGGGCCTCTTTGTCAAACCCCTCAAAGTCCATATAAGTCCATATCCTCACTATCACTGACTTGGGCTGGCTGTGGTGGGTGAAGAACTCGGTAATGTTTTGATGACTGGGCGACCTTGTGCGTATCCTGCCCGCGCCGCTTCCCGCGTATATGAGTAGATGCACCGCGTAAAGTGAACATTCCGGTTCTGGCGGGGTATCGCATAAATGTAGAAACGCGTAAATAAAAACCGCGTAAAGCGGGGTATTACTGTATATTATTTTTGTGATTGGTTCCTGAATTCACAACCATAAACACTGGATTTTTTATTTTATTTATTTTTTGTTGCAGGGAGGCTACATGACGATCCACATCACCCCGGAACCAGAGTTCTCTTATGTGTCCTTCGAAACCAACGTTCCCCAGAAATCATACAAAGATCTCATTGCTCGTGTTGTTGCTACCTTTGGGCCGAAGCAGTTTGTGTTGACCTTCTTCACCAGTGTGGTATGTACAGTATTTTTTTGTGCTTGTGTGTTTTGTATGAAAGATATATATTACTTTGCACATGGATGCATATCTCTCGTGGGCGTGCATCTACATTAATGAATGTATACATGTTTTTTCTGTATGTTTGCACCTTAGGCTTGGGTTTGCTTCCCATATCAAATCCCAATGACCGACAGTAAGTAAATTGTACCTGAAGGGGCGCATTATGTGAAAAGGTTTGGGAACCACTGCATCAGAGTATTGAAATGGTATTGCCACAAATTTTATGGTTTCTTGTGTAAATAAGCACTGCACCAACCACTGCTCGGCCGTGAATTATGAGTATTTGATCGCGAAATTTAAAAAAGTAGTAATAGAGACACCCACAAATTTAAGAACTTGAATTAGTATTTTGTGTATTATCACGACTCCACCACACTTCCATGATTGCTTATGTAACATAGATCTACTTTTACTATTTTTTCATTGATGTTAATTTTTTCTTTGAACAGGAGAGTGGTGCAAGTATTGGCATAGAAGATGACAGTTGCAGCGTGCCTCAGTACTCCGATTATGATGTTGATGATATTCAGATCTGCCGCCTCCAGGGGTATGACTTGACTTATGCCCTCTACAATAGGTTCCCAAGTTAGGGAATCGTCCCCCAAGGTGGGCAGTTTGAGACTCTCTTGACAACAAGCACAAAATCAGGAAAGGAATCCCCAACTGAACACCTCACTCAGGTTGTTGACTATATCATTGTAAAGTCAAAGCAGAATAAGGAAGAGCTGAGGTGTTCAAAAGGGAGAAAAAATTCACAATTGAAGTGCTATATGTATGTATTGTCAAGGGGATGCCAACTGCTCCAATATTTCCTCCATTTTATCTTTCTTGGGATAGTTATCCCTACTATAGGTAGACTAGCAGTAGTGCAGAAATCAGCTGAATATTCCAAGAAAAATATTACTTACAACATTGCCACATATAGGCATTTACCTGTTAACAATTCTGGGAAAGTTTATAACATAAGCTGGAGTCATTTCCATGCTTTTGTGAAGTTGGACTCTCTGCCATGTATGGCTTTTGAGTCAAAGACATCCTGCCACCTGCTTAGAATTTTCCTCTGGTGGCGGGATGCGTACTCCTGAGTTGGCCTTGAGAAGCAGTCTTCTTGATCAGCATATAACCACTCTTGTGGCAGAAACAGCCACCCCATCCACTCAGGATGGTTCTCCCTTCACACTCGGCAATAGCCCGATGTTTCCACATCTGATACAATGCAAAGATCCTAACATAGGATGAAGTTCCAGAGGTATGTGGATATGACCAGGTACTTTATGCAAGACCTGGCTCAGATGACACTCTTGCGGTTATTGGTCGGTGTTCTTACAGCTGAATGAAAGCAGTCAAGAGTCCAGTGAAGGTAATATGATGGGGTAGCAAGGTGGCATTATAGTAGGGAATTTATTTGTTAGTGCGAACTCTTGGTCCCAGATACAGTATAGTATCATTTTGATTGTTGGTCAACACTGTCAGTTCCATTTTTGGCATCACTGATGAACATCATTAATTCCAATTTTGGCACTAAAATCATTATCATCAGTCAATGTTGCTCCTACTTCTGGTATCATTGTGGTTGCTGATAAATATTTTTATACTAGTTTCTTTCAGAACTGTGAAATTTAGTTATGCATTTTCATAGAAGGGTGTAACAAATGAATAAACATCTCATTTGTCACTATTTTTATGGTATGGTATCTTATTGTATATTTCTTAATTACAATTATATTATATACCATAACACATGATGAGTATTTGTGTACTTAATTTATTACAATGAAGATCAAATATGAAATTTAAATGAAGGAAACACATCTTTTAGTGACTTTTTTTTTTCATGGTTATTCACATGGTAATTGCACTAAGATTTTTCTTATCTATCTCTCTCTCTCTCTCTCATTTATATATATATATATATATATATATATATATATATATATATATATATATATATATATATATATACATGCATGCATATACATACATACATACATACATACATATATATATATATATATATATATATATATATATATATATATATATATATATATATATATATATATATATATATATATATATATATATATATATATATATATATATATATATATATGAAGTCACATTTTCACAGTGATTCTCCCCTCATGGTTTGTTGATCATTTATTACTCGACTTAGTAACACTCTTGTCTTTAAGTCTTATTTTGCACATCTACTGTTATGGTAACCGCATGAGACTTATTGAGGATTTGGTCCATTAAATGAAAAAGTAATTTGTTGTAAAAGTGGATTTTGACAAGTTTCCTGGGTGACATTTGAGCTTCAACTAAGAGAAATTGTTGGGGTGATATTCACCCAGTAAAACTATTAAAGATTCACATAGTAGTACTATTGCATAGTACTATTGCATTTTAAAACTCACACACACACACATACATACATATGCACGCTTTGGATACAGGACAAATGTACAGATTCTATTGATTGTTAGCAATGTTTTTCTTTTCCACACCCCTGCACTTCAATGAAGAGTGATGTTACAGGATTACACAAAATTTTTTTTGATGACCTTAAAGTTTGTTTATTGTAGAATTTTATGAATAAGAAAAGAACCAAGTGAATTATAGCAAAAGTGACATTGTCTACTGCAGAGTAAAAAAAAATTAAATGAAAAGGAAGCTAACCACCAGCTGCTTCCTCACCATGAGGTCTGCATTAATTCACCATCACATGCAGCTAAATATAATCAGCACATGGGACATGCCACACACACTACACACAGTCATCTCTCCATTTACACTTCTCTTCACCTCAACATAACAAGGTTAAGATGTTTAGGTACCCAAAGTATAAGCTTTTACAAGTGAAACCACACTGAGCATGAAACCACATATCTGATTTTCAGGGTTCTAGTCTTCCAGAATATTTAAAGACACATTACCTACCTTAATCATGATGCTACTGTGGCTTGTAGTTGCTGGCTTGCACAGGTGCTGCCCCTTCCTCCTGTGCTAATGATGTGGAGGTTAGTCACACATTAACCACACATAATACATCTGGATATTTCTAAGGTGATTGAAATTGGGGTTAACAAGATTTTCAGGGTTGGTTTGTTGTTCTTTTTAAAAAGTTTTCCAGCCACTTTTAATTATTTTTTAGTAGGGAGATTTATTTTAGCTTTTCTGTTGTTACTACAGCAAGGTTACTCTTCCTCGTTATATGTTGAAGCACACCATTGTAAAACTGCATACTGGCTTCAGTAAAATTAGGAGTATGTTATTACTGTGAGCACTGGATAATGTCATAAAAGCAGTGAAATCGTCCAATATGATTAGAAGAAGGAAAAACAAGTGAAATGATCTGATTGACTGACATACCGTCAGCATACATGTGCAGAATGCATATACAGTAAAATTCTTGAGTACCACACAAATTAAGCCACAGCAACGTCATTACTCGGGCCAAAACCGTTATTCAGAAGTATATATCAGCAGAGAGAAACTGTTGAAAATAACAGCCAGGAAATTACACTGACACAGATTGGCTTATTTATTCTCATAATAAAATAGTCCAAGTAAAGTAAGCATACTTGTCATACTTAAAGTAAATTAATTTTTTCATTATTATTTGAAGTGTTAATAGATGTAGGTAAGGTTCTAGGTTTTAGAAGCTTTCAGAGCTGCATAAGAGTTTTTAATATATCCAAAGTCCCAACATATGTGTATGTGGCATGGATGGCTTTGTGCAGTGTAAGATAAAGTGAACAATGTGGATGTTTACATTATATTGTAAATACTCAAGTACAGTTAGAGTTTTTATGATCAAATCTTAATGCAAACAGTACCATATTTTACGGCATATAAGATGCACGGGCACATAAGAGACCCCCCCATCCCTCCCATTTCAGAAGTGAATATTTGTATTTTCCTTCTGTAGCCATAGTTAGTTTTTACTACACTGGTAATAGCTCAGAGCAGCTGAGATCTCTCACTTCTCCCTCTCTTAACACACGAGAAAAGTTTATTCTCTTATATTTTTACTTTATGATAATTATTATTATTATTTAATTTTTTTGCACATTCTGAATGTAAAATTGTGTGCTTGTAACATAGTATAAAAAAAACCTATTACTGTACATGTATTTACCCCAAATTATAGAGTTGAAACATTACTATAACAAAACTTGGCCTGGAGTGGTAGGAAAAGGGCTGGGGGACGTCGCAATAGTGATGAGTTTGGTGTTACTATTACAAATACAAAATTATTAGAAAATAATAAAAAACGAGAAAAAGAAACGTAAGGAATATTGTTCACCGTAAATGATCCATGGAAGTGCTCGAATTTTAACCCCTCAAAAAATATTATGCATACAGGTATGTAGTTTGATCATTTACAGTGTTTTACAGCATATAAGACTCACTTTTTTGCCTGAAAAATGGATGAAAACAATCAGCCTTCGTCCTATGAGTGAAGTTGTGGTCTCATGAAGGCTAATAAATCCCTAAGTTGCTCTCTCCAGTAGGCTAAATTCTACCTAGCCTGACTCCAGAATTAAAAATATGTTATTACCTATTTAAACACATTCCTGTATTTTTACATTGAATTAATTAAAAAAATAATAATTGTAAATATGAAAGCTGGGTTTCTAACTACTGATTATAGCCCAAGACAATTAGCTTCTGTATGGCAGGCACCCAACTCTTCGGAGCTAAGCAGTAACAGTTTCTGAACTCTTGTTACAACTGTTACTGTCTATTAATGTCATACCTGCAACATTTATCTTTAAATATACAAATACCTGATACAAATGAAGATTTAGAGATAATTTTCTTTTCACATATGCATATGTAAACATTATTGGCAGCATTGTTGCCAAGTTAGACTCGTCACTGTAGCTACCAGGCCAAGCTGTAAGTGTTATGGTTATTTTTCAACTCTCAATTTCCGGTAGTTATCAGTAACTTTCATCAGTTTTTTTTTTACTCGGTTACATGCACACAGTCTTACATACATACTGTGTTTTTTACTATGTTACATACACACACAATATTGCAGAATATCCCCCCAAAATTATCATAAGGTCAAAACGTAAAGGTAATAAACTTTCTTTGCATGTTAAGAATTCAAGCTGAGCGGGGGAGTGCGAGATTTTAGCTCTTTTGAACTGTCTCCCGTGTAGTGCAACAATTGACAAATTACATCACCCAGCAGCCAAATGGCAATACAGTTTATTTTATTTATTACTTTTACTTTTATCATCTTTGCCACTGATCGGCTCATTAACCGCTTGTGGTTGGCCACATCTCTGTTACGCATGCACTGGCTCCTGAATGTACTGTATCTCAACCTGCTCCAGTGTTGGTCAAGTCTGGTCTTGAAATTGTTTTTATTTGTTCCTCACATTTATTGGTACATATATACTGTATGTATAGTATTTTATCTTATTTCTCATAGGAGTTGGTAACCAGTCAGGAATTCAGTTTCAGATTCGGTAACACTGTTCATAGCATCAGCTGTTGTGGTGGTGGTCATGGCCAATATGTGTTGGTGTTGTCTTGCTACAAATTATGTCGAGGATTATATTTATTATTTCTCAAGAGCTAGGGTTAATTTATAGGTTGATTTAACAATGAGTAAAAGGGAATAGGTTCTAGTCCTTCGTTATTCTGTACAGCATTGTTGTGATGTGGGCTGGGCTGGCGGGATCAAGTGGTCCCTTCTGCATTGCTCCACAACAGTAACAATGACCTGCAAGATACGCAAAACGTTTTTTTTTTTAAATTTAAAAAAAGATAAAATTCCAAGATTCGTGTCGTTATTCAGGTGGCCGGTACTCTGGTTTTTTACTGTAGTCCTTTGACCAAC